AGGAGGGGAGGGGCGGGGAGGGAGCGAGGAGAGGATGCAGGAGGGGAGGGAGATGGGCCTGGAGGATGGGGGAGGCAGAGAGGGAGAGAATAGGAACAGAGGCACAAAGAGAGGCAGAGCAGAGGCCGAGAGTCGCGCGGAGACCTGGAGTCCGAGAGATTCAGAGACTCGCAGGTCTGCAGACTGGACGAGACAGAGACGACAGAGACAGACAGAGTTGAAGACGTCCCCCCACCCCCCGCCACCGAGGCTCGGAGATTCTGAGGCCCTGGAAGTGGAGAAGTCAGGGACCCCGAAAGAGACAGGGAGACGCTCAGAGGCCTCGGGCTGAGAGGTGCTGAGATCCGGAGACCTTGATTGCGAGGAAGTGACAGACGGACAGAGAGACAGAGACAGAGAACCTGAGAAGCAGAGACAGCAGGGGCAATCCTGGGGGGCGGGGAGGGGTGCACCCCGAAGAGGACTGGAGTCTAGCCAGGCCTGGGAGGAGCCTGGGGTCTGGGCGGCTGTAGGAGGCGGGAGGGGGCGTCCCGGGCCGGGGTCCCCAGAGCAGCGGGCGGGCGCAGAGCGGAGCCAGGTCCTGCAACCACCGCGGAGCCGGGAGCCGGGCCAGCCCCCCCGCCCCCCGCCGTGATGTCAGCGGGGCCACTCTTAAAGGGGCAGGCCGCCCGCCGAGGGTCGGAGCGGGGGCTAGGGCCTGAGGGCAAGGGATGGTGGTACAGCGGCAGCTATGGGGGACACAGGGGGAGCCCCAGCATCCAGCTGGACCGGGGCCCGGAAATCCAGGAGCCTGCAGGGAAGAAGAGATGCTGGACCCTCGAGGGAGCCTGAGAAGCTTTGGGGCTCAATCCCCTCCAAACGCACAGACACAGGCACACCACTCTGCTGGCCTGCCCCTGTCCGGGGACTACATTTCCCATCAGCCCTGGCGGCGAGGGACCGCACTTGGGGGGAAGGGTCTGCTGCGATATCTCCTGGGAAATGTAGTCTATCTGGACTGTCCCCTCCACTCCCCCCACTTGCAAGTGGGTCAGGGGAAAGAGGGTCGGAGGACTCGTCTGCCTGCCTTCTGCCTCAGTCGCTGATTCTTAAACTCACAGGTTCTGGTTGTTTTGGTTTCTCTGTGTGGGGTCTCTTCTAACTCTCAAGGTCTCTCAGTAGGAGGCCAGCATTTCATCTCCCCACTCAGGACTTCTCCCTAGTCTCGGGGTCTCGGTGTGTGTCTATGAGCTTGCATGTTGCTCTGGGTGAATATCTGCGGACTGGGTCTCTGTCTCTACCTGATCCTCATAATGATCTATGTGTACATCTTGCATTGCACACGTGTCCATTTTGGTCCTCTGTGGCTCTCTCTCCCGTCCGCCCCCCCCCCCCCCCCTTTCTCTGTATCTCAGCTCTCCTAGGGGTCTCTATTGCTCTCTCATGCTGTGGGTATCTTCTCTTTCACTTTATGGGTCTCTGTGCTTTCTCTCTCTCTCTGCTCACCGCCCCCCTGCCTCTGACTCTTTGTATGTTTGCTTCTATGTACAGTCATTCGCCCACCTCCACACCCCCTTCAGTCTCCAAGCTTACAAGAAAACATCCGAACACTTCAGCATCAGCAACCCAAATTTATTCTCCAGCAGGTGTGGCCGGGTGAGGAGGGAGAGGGAGAGTCCCAGAAAGTGGCAGGCACTGGGGAGGGAAGGGGGTGGTTCCGAGCAAGACTGGAGCCATGCACGGGTTGGGGGCAGGGCAGGTGAGCAGTGATAAGTTTGGGATGGGGGAGTCTAGAACAAATGCTGATTGAGAACAGTTGGGGTAAGAATCCTCCATACATCCTAGGAATCCCCAGAGCATAGAAGAGAGAAGTACCGGAGCAAGGGGGCACAGCCTCCCACTTACTCTAGAACTGGAGTGGAGGTGGGAAGGGCCTGGAGGTTGTGTGTTGTTCTGGAATCTGAGTCTGGAACAGCCAACCCCATGAGACTACTTCCGGGGGGGGGTGGACGGAGAGGAGAGGCATAGAACTATCGAGATGGAGTCTAGAACACCACGAAGTTGGGATGGTGGTGGTGGTTCTGGAACTGGTTCTGAGCAGAGTCCAGAATGCTCAGGTGGGGAGAATATAGAGCTCAGTACAGCAGAATCTAGAACGCGGGAAGGCTCTAGAGACTGTATGGAGTTTAGAATGCCAGGAACGTTTGGGAGGGGCATCTAGAACCCGTGGGGGCAGAGACCAGGACGCTGGGGTGCAGGATCTAGTATTGGGAACGGGGTGGTAAAGTGAGGGCTACGGCTGGCGTAGCGGAGGGGGAAGTGGGGACACCTAGTGGCGGCAGGTGAGATTACATGACTGGCACAGGCACTGGGCTGGTGGGGCTGCGGGTGTCCGGGTGCACGAAATCGGGGTTAATGTAGGTGAAGCCCTGGAAATCGGCCTGGTCGATGCTGGCCAGTACTAGGCGGTCTGGCGGGGTCAGTGCTGGCGCCGCCCGCGTGAAGAACTTGTCAAAGTTCTCGCCGCTGCGGCCACACTGTGGGAAATGTGGGGAGGAAAAGTTAAGGTGGGTATTGAGTGTCTGTCCCCCTGTATCCCTCTCCCGTCTCTTGCAGAATGTCTACACATCCTTCACGGTCTCTGCACCTCCCTTTAAGGGGATCTCCGCAGAGGAAACCCCACCCCACCTCCACATTGAGGTATTGATGCTCATGGGTACCCCATTCCACGACGGACCAAGGTTTTGTTGTGGGAGGGTGACTGACCGGACGGGGTCTGAACGGAGGAGTGATCTCCAACCGTTCCAGCCGTTCCCAGTCGATCCAGCGGAAAAAGCCATGTGCACGGATGGTGGGTTCTCCATCTGGCCCTGAGCCCAGACGTTTCCCCGGGTGCTTAGTCAGAAACTGTGTGTGTGGGGGGGGGGAGAGAACAAGAAGGAGAAAGACAAAGATATAAGAAATAAGAAGCACAGACAGAGAGATGCAGAGAGAGAATAGCAAGGGGAACCAGCGACCAGGGGGGTGGGGGGTGGAGAGTAAAAGAAAGAGTGAAAATAAATGAGAACGAGAATAGACAAAATGGTTTGTTCTTTAAAAAGCCCAAGACCCCTCTGGCCTCACCTCCTGGGAGCCCTACTCACTTTAAGTGCTTTCAGCACAAGCTCTTCCCACTCTGAATAGTTTGGCCAGAGCTCCACCCTTTCGAAAATTCGGGAAACAAAGCTTACCTACTTAGAACACTCCTTTGGTCTCAAATATAAAGACTACCTAAGGGCCAAGTCACAAGTTCCGTCCACCTAGAATATGTGGGTAACTGGATCCTCTGCTTTGAATACCAAGTGAAGAAGGCTAAATTTCAGAGACCAGAGATTCTTAAATCTGGATGCATATAAGATTAATTGAAGAGGTTGTTTTAAAAATAGATGTTCCGGGGGCCGGCCCGTGGCTCACTCGGGAGAGTGCGGTGCTGATAACACCAAGGCCACGGGTTCGGATCCCATATAGGGATGTCCGGTTCGCTCACTGGCTGAGCGTAGTGCTGACAACACCAAGACAAGGGTTAAGATCCCCTTACCGGTCATCTTTAAAAAAAAAAAAAAACACATAAAAATAGATGTTCCCAGCCCCAAACAATTCCAGCCCCAATGGGTCAGAGTCAGAGGCAGGAATGTGTGTGCGTTTTTCAAATTCATAAAAATAGATGTTCCCAGCCCAAAACAATTCCAGCCCCAATGGGTCAGAGTCAGAGGCAGGAATGTGTGTGCGTTTTTCAAATTTTCCACAGGTGATTCTGATTACCAGCCAGGTTTTGTGATCACCGACATTGATTACTTGGGCACTAGCACCAATAACTTGAAAAGTTAGAGGAACAGCACCACCAACACAACCTCTTCCCCCAATTTAGAAAAGTCAGGACACATGATCTATCCATGTATATGTACATTCAGAACATCAGCTCCACCCCCTTTAACAAGTCAGAGCAATACTCTGCCCAATTAAAGTACTCAGAGGACAGCATCTGCTCTGCCACGGTTCTTAGAGATCTGATCCTGCCCTCTTGGAATATTCGGTGCAGAAGTCCAGCCCATTTAGATCAAAGAACCATGTACAATACTTATCAAATGAACTTTCATCAAATTAAATACTCCAGGGAAAGCCCTGCCCAGTGAGAATATTCAGGAGACAGCCTTCGCAGGCTTAGTGTTCTCAGGGGACAGGCCACACCCACTCAGAGTACACTAGAAATAGTCTCCACCCTCTTAGAATGGTCAGGGAACAGGCCCTACTCATGTAGAATTCCTATGAGCCACTCAAAATATTCATCCACCGGTCCCACCCACTTTACGTATTTAGAGACCCAGCTCCACCTGCTTAGAATGCTCAGCACACAAGCTTACCTGCACTGGATGTTGAAAGGAAATCTCACCCGGCAAAAATGCCCAGAACTCATAACAAGGCCCCAGGGTCAGGCCTCACCCTTTATAAATTCTAGATGATTAGATACACCCACTAAGAGATCTCGGAGTATGCCCAGAGCAGTGGAGTTAGGGTTACCTCGGGGGCTATGTAGTCCGGGGTCCCGCAGAAGGTGCGGGTCGTCGTCCCAGGGAAGATGTTCTCCTTACACATGCCAAAGTCAGTGATCTTGATGTGTCCTTCAGCATCCAACATCACATTGTCCAGTTTCAGGTCCCTGGAGGATGGAGGTGCAGGGTAGGAATTGCAGGAAGGGTTGAGTTCAGCAGGCTGGAGCCATATGTTCGAATCCTTTCCCCTCTAGGGACCTAATTTCCCTCCATGGAAAGTCCTGTGGATGCTCACCTGTAGATAATGCCTTGATTATGAAGGAAGAAGAGGCCAATGGCGATTTCTGCCGCGTAGAACCTGGAAGAGCGGGTGGGAAGTCAGAAGGTCAATAGCGGACCGTACCCCCTTCCACCTTCCCCTCCCTTCTCTCTTGGCTGAGACTCACGCAGCATGGGGCTCCTTAAACTTGCCCAACTGCTGAATGTGGTACATCAAGTCGCCCCCGGTGACGTACTCCATCACGAAATACAGGCGATCCTGGGGAGAAGCGGGCGGGGCTTAGAGATGGGGACACACCCACTTGGAGTAGGAAAAATCCTTTACCGCCCACTCAGAACAAACGTAGAAGACTCGGGATCCACCCAACCAGAAATCCAGAGCAACTATCCACACCTGTTGGGAGGGTCCTACGGTTCTAACCCAGCAGCCTCCGAATCTCCACTGGCCCACTTCCCAGTTGCTCCCAACTACCAGGTGTTCTGACCCTGCCGTCTCAGAAGTGAAGACCGAGGCCCATGCCATTCGCCTGAAACCCGAAACCCAAACCTCTTTCCACACCAGTCACAAACATATGCAATTCTGGCCACCTATTAGGAACAAAAGTTGTTCAGGCTTCACCTGCAATTAAGTTTTAAAAAAAATCCAAGAAGCTGGCCACGCCCATTCAGAGCCCCTGGAATCACACTCCGTGAAAATCCTGAAGGTTCTGACTCGTTGCCCCTTGCTGCAACCTTAGGGAAACGCCCACTTCTCACAGTGTCCTTCAGCTAGAATCTAAGAGTGATGACCTCGTCACTCGCAGCCCAATTCCGGGCACGCCCACTCAGAAGGCATTCTCCTCCAAATGCTCCTTTGCTGAAAAATCCAGAGCACTGGCTAACTCACTCAAGATCGAGCTCGCCTGGGAAACAGGCTTTCTGGCCACGCCCACTCAGGATCCCACCCGGTTGGCCACGCCCCCCGAGCACCTGCATTCTGGCCACGCCCACAGAGGGTCCCTCCTTCCAGCCACGCTCACTCGGAGCGCGTAGGGGTTCCTCCGCCTTGCCCTAAACTCAGAATCCCAAAGCAGAAGCCCGATCCATCCAGAAGGGTATGAGTCAGGGCTTCCGGGCCGGCCTCAGCCCAGTTCTTCCTCACCGGGGTCTGAAAGGTGGAGTGAAGCTGGGTGAGAAAGTGGGGCCGGCCGCCAGGACCTCGGCCCCCCAGTGCCAGCACGCGTTTCTCCACCAGGGTGCAGTCTACGTCGTCATCCTGAACTATCACGTCCTTTTTCAGGATTTTGATGGCATAGAGCTCATCGGAGCCTCTGCGCTCGGCCAGCATCACCTATGGACAGAAGTCCAAAAAGACGAGTCCGTTTGGGAACCTGGTGGTGCAGCACCCTGCCCCCCGCCCCTTTCTTTCAAGGACACAGAGAAACAGAATACCAGGTCCTTCCTCCCTTTCTCAAGGGACTGGGTGTCCTGACTACTGCCCACCCGTCAGGGAAAGTACAGCATCTTTATACCTCTCCTCTCCAGGAACCCAAGTGGCCCAAACTAACCATATGTGGGGACCCTCTCCCCACCCCCACTTCCTCCCTAAGGATCAGAAATCTGACCTCCCGCAGACATTCTCCCTTTCCCCCAGAACCCCAGGAATCCAACCTTCCCAAAACTGCCTTTTCCTAGAACCATGAGGAAGCTGAAGTCGGAGATGTGCAGGCGTCCTGGGCTCGCCCCGAAGAAGCAGCGCTTGGGGTCGGTGGGACTAGGGGAGGGGGAGGGGATGGGGGAGGAAGAGGGACCCATCCGCACCCGCTGTGGCAAAGGGGAGAGACAAATCCAGAAGTAGTCAGACTCCAGACAGGGTTAAGGATATGCTCCCCAAGAGAGACAGCATCCAAAAATGAAAAGGATAGGGAGAGAGAAAGATTGCTACCCCTCCCACACTGCCCTTGGCTTCAGAACTTTCTCTGACTCCTCATAGCCTGGAGAGTTTATTTATTATTTAGCTAACACTTAAATAGCTTACTACATGCCATCTCTGGAAAACCCTGCTATCATCCCCTTTTACTAAAGATTGCTACCCCTCCCACACTGCCCTTGGCTTCAGAACTTTCTCTGACTCCTCATAGCCTGGAGAGTTTATTTATTATTTAACTAACACTTAAATAGCTTACTACATGCCATCTCTGGAAAACCCTGCTATCATCCCCTTTTACAAAAGAGGAAACTGGCACAGAGACGTTAAGCAATTTACCCAAAGTCACACAGGGAGTAAAAAGTAGAGCTAGAAATGAAACCCAAGTAGTTCAGCTCTATAGTCTTACTGCTTCTAGCCTCTAAGCCAGAATCTCCTACAGGGTTTGGTAAAACAGATTGACGGGGTCTCACTCCCAGATGTTTTGATTCCATAAACCTAAGGTGGAGTCTGAGAATTCGCATTTGCTGCTTCTAGCCTCTAAGCCAGAATCTCCTACAGGGTTTGGTAAAACAGATTGACGGGTCTCACTCCCAGATGTTTTGATTCCATAAACCTAAGGTGGAGTCTGAGAATTCGCATTTCTCTCTCTCTCTCTTTTTCTTTTTTAGAATTTACATTTCTAACAAGTTCTCTGGTGGTGCTACTGCTGCTGCTGGTCTGGGAACCACACTTGACTTTAAGCTATGATGTCTTCTCCATCTTTTCCTGCCTCAGCCCCCAGGAGGGGGGCTTCTTTCTTTTTTAGAATTTACATTTCTAACAAGTTCTCTGGTGATGCTACTGCTGCTGCTGGTCTGGGAACCACATTTGACTTTAAGCTATGATGTCTTCTCCATCTTTTCCTGCCTCAGCCCCCAGGAGGGGGGCTTGTGGCTGAATTGCTATAATAGCTTCCATGCTTGTCTCTCTGCATTAACTGTAGCCCTTTGTGATGCATTTTCTACTCAGCAGGCAGAGAGACCTATTTAAAAATAATAAACCAGGTCATGTCTCTCCTAGCTTGTAAATCCTCTAACAGCTGTGTTAAGATATTATTCCATGTAGCTTGTAAGACCAGGCTCTAACTGACGCTGCAGGTCACTCTCCTCCCTCTCCCTCCATGGTGCAGCCACCCTAGCCTCATAATACTGTCCTCCCACACACCTTAGTTCTTTTGGACACACCGTTCCTTCTTCCTGAAAAGCTCTCCCCTCCCTTTTCCTCCTATTTACCTCCCAAACATTCTTTAGACCCTAATTAAGAAGAAGCATCACTTCTTCACAGAGACTTATGACTTTTTAGAATGGCTCAGTTGCCTCTCTCACCACCAGTTCCCACCATGGACAGCTCCTTTGTAGCACTTTTCTTAGTAACTTATTTACATCTATCTGTGCAACTATCTCCTTACCACCAGTGAGCGCCTTGAAACATGGGTCTATTTTGTTCTCCAAGACACAGTAACAGTGTCTGGAGCATAGTTAGGGCTCAACAAATATTTATTGACTGGTGCAACTTTGAGCAGAAGAGCATTCTGAACACCTGGATTCATATCCCAGCTCTGCCATTTGTTGGGATATTTCTATATCCTCTTCTACAAAGCAGGGATAATAGGAATAACTCCCACAGAAGAATGTTTCTTTTTGATATGCAAAGATACTTCAAAAAGTCTGTGGGAAAATAGAATTAAAAGACAATATGAATCTTTCCATGAACGTTTTGAAGTACCCCATATCGTTATCTCCAGTACGTAGCTCAGCGTTTGGCACATAGTGGGTGTCATTGGTAATATTAATTGGTGCCCACTGAGTTGTGGGAGACATGTCAGAACAGCAATAGGGACATACGGCATCCCCAGCTTCCTGCATCCAAGCCTTTCCCCACCATCTGCCATGTCTCCATAGACTAAATCTTTCTCAGTTAAATGCACAGGAAGATCATCCCTGCTGAAGCTGCTGAGAGATTCTGGGCAAAAGACTCTAACACTCTCGACCTAAATGTTCTCCCACTGTTATCCCTGTCTCTGTTCTCAAATTTAACTATGCAAAAAAGCCCCCTGATGAATTTGTTTAATATGCAGACATTCCAGCCATCAAAGAGATTCTCACTTAATAGGTCTGCAGAAAGGCCCAGAAATATGCTTTGGAAAGCAAGCACTCATAAATTCTGATGCAGGTGGACCACAAACAAAACTTGAAAACCCTAGCGAAAGTTTCTGAGTTAAGAAAAGACTACAGCATATTGCTGTTGTTATTTAATCTTGGAGATTCTTACTGCTAGTACCAGTCTTTCCAGCCTCAATATAGATGTTCCTCTTCTGGGATGTCCCCGAGCTGGGTGTTGATGCTTCCTTTGTGCTCCTACAATGCCCTGTAGAACCTCCATTGTAGCACATCACCCTCTGTCATGATGATTTGTGTTTTAGGGTTCTGAGATTTTCTTCTCCTCCAGACTGTGAGCATCTTCAAGCCAGAGAGTGTTTTTCTTCTGTTTCTCCACATCACCCAGAACATAGCTTGGTGCACAAAAGGTCTCACCAAGAGGGTGTTGGATGGATAAAGGTCTCAGGAGACGGGTGCTGCATGCACTCCTTATTGCCTCGACCTTCAGCATATACCAGTCTCCTGCCTGGGTCTTCACCATAGCCGCCTTCTTGCTTCCACCTTTGCCTTCTACTGTCAATTCTCCACACATAACTAGTGATCTTGTTAAAATCTAAACCATCTAGGCTGGCCGGTTAGCTCAGTTGGTTAGAGTACAGACTTATAACACCAAGGTCACGGGTTCTGATCCCCATACCAGCTAGCTGCCCCCCACCCTCCACAAAAAAAAAAAAGCAAATAATCGAAGGCCACCCCTCTGCTCAGAACCCTCCTTTTCCTTCTTATCTCACTCGGTTTAAAAGTCAAAATTCTTCCAATGAATGAAAAGGCACCCCCTTCCTTCTCTGACTTCCATCTTCTACTTCTCCCCACCCCCTTTCTTTGCTCCTACTTCGCTGTCCTCCTTGCTGTTCCTCAGAAACTCCTGGCCTGCTCTCACCTCAGGGCCTTTGCACATGCCCTTCCCTTTCCCTGGAAAGCCATTCTCCCAGATATCCTCATGGCTCACCCTGACCTCCTTTAAATCTTTGCCCAACAGTCACTGTCTTGGAGAAGGCTTTGTGTTTACTGCAATTAGAATAGCAAAAACTTCCCCAACATCATTCCCTATCTTCCTTAATGTTTCTTTTTCTCCATATCACTTATCACCTTCTAACATATTATCACATACTTATTTATTTTGTTTAATGTCTTCCTCTATGTAAAGGCCCAAAAAGGGAGTACTTTTTTTTTTCTATCTTGCTTCCTGCTGTGTGTGTGTGTGTGTGTGTGTGTGTGTGTGTGTGTGTATTCCCAGTGACTACAACTATGCCTTGCACACAGAGTTCTCAATAAAATATGTTTTGAAAGAGTAAATAAGAGAGAGAGAGATATTCCCAGTGACTACAACCATGCCTTGCACACAGAGTTCTCAATAAAATATGTTTTGAAAGAGTAAATAAGAGAGAGAGAGAACATTCCTTCCTTCTGCCTGGAAATCTGGTCTTCCTCTCCTCTACCTGTAAAATGCTACACTTCAGATTTCACCTCTCTAGGAAGCTTTCTCTAACTCTCTGAGTCTGCACAGATGCTTCTGGGGACTCCTGAGTGCCTGAGGCTATATCCATCGTCAAACCCATTCCTTCTTGTTGTGAATGTCTCTATGTGGAATGTTTTCCTCCATTAGAAGAGAAACTCCCTGGGGCCAGCCTGTGGCTCAGTCGGGAGAGTGTGGTTCTGATAACACCAAAGCCACGGGTTCGGATCCCATATAGGGATGGCTGGTTTGCTCACTGGGTGAGCATGGTGCTGACAACACCAAGTCAAGGGTTAAGATCCCCCCTTACCGGTCATCTTTTATAAAAAAAAAAAAAAAGAAGAAGAGAAACTCCCCCAGGGAATGGCCTGGTTCTACTCCCCAAAGGTTCTAGCTTATGTGACACCTCAGGAAACAGGTGTTCAACAAAAGAGTGAATGGAGAGAGGAAGGTCACAGTGATTGATAGAAAAACTCAAGGATCAATTCAGGTGTCACCTCCTCCGGGAAGTCCTCCCTGACTACCCTCCCCCCAGGCTGGGTTAGTGTCTTCTCTAGGGTTCTTCAGTGCCCTGGGCTACCTCTAATTTTGCACATCTTTTTTTATTTTAAGTATCTGTGACTGTGTCTCTACCTTGAGGAGTCTCTTCAGGGTCAGATTCACCTCTGGATCACTAGGGTTATTCAGCATGCACAGGATGAACTTGGCACAAAGTATGTGACCAACTCATATGTGTGGAATTGAAGACAGAAATCAGAGGGAGGAACAAGTAGACAGAGAGACAGATAGACAGATAGAAACTGACTCCATTCAATGCCTCAGTTCTACTCACCTCATACAATTCCAGGGGGTAGTTACAGGCCTGGGGGATAAGAAAACCAGAGTCAGGGATTTAAGAGAGGTAGAAGATTGCCCTAGAGCAGGGGCTGGGGCCACTAATGCCCCCAAGACATGGTGATAGATAGAAACTAGAATTCCCATTAGACACTGGGGCTACAGACCTCTAGAAGAACAGGAGAAGCCCCAGGGTCTTTTGGGAATTGTAGTCCCAGAACCAGTGGGCAACCAGGGGGTGGAGGGAAAGGCCAGCTCTGAACTGTGGGAATCTGAACTGGACTCTCCTGGGGAAGCTGGGGGTCCAGGTACCTCAAACTTCTGGAGGAGGCTGCAGTTGTCAGCATCGGCCACCGGCACATTGTAATATTCACCCTCCTCCTGGTTCAGTAACTTGTACCTGACACACAGACAGAGACCAGAGGGCGGCGGGGGGGGAGGGAGATGGGCACCCATGGGAGAGGCAGAGACATCCAAAGGGAGGAAAAGACACAGAGAGACAAACACAGAGATGGAGAGAGAGAAGGAGTGAGATAAGGAGAGAGGGAGCAGAAGGGGATGAAGAGAGAGGAAGAGGGGGAGGGAGGAAGGGAGGAAAGGAGGGAGAGAGCGAGAGGAGGAGGAGGAGAAGGTGGAGATGAAGAAGGAAGAGGAGGAGGAGAAAGAGCAAGAAGAGGGAGGTGGGGGCAGAGGGAGAGACAGAGGGAGGTGTGCTGGCAGGTAGAGGGAAAGGTGATGAGAATGGCCATAAAGAGGGCCGGCCCGTGGCTCACTCGGTAGAGTGCGGTGCTGATAACACCAAGGCCCCGGGTTCGGATCCCATATAGGGATGGCCGGTTCGCTCACTGGCTGAGCGTGGTGATGAGAATGGCCATAAAGAGGGCCGGCCCGTGGCTCACTCGGTAGAGTGCGGTGCTGATAACACCAAGGCCCCGGGTTCGGATCCCATATAGGGATGGCCGGTTCGCTCACTGGCTGAGCGTGGTGATGAGAATGGCCATAAAGAGGGCCGGCCCGTGGCTCACTCGGTAGAGTGCGGTGCTGATAACACCAAGGCCCCGGGTTCGGATCCCATATAGGGATGGCCGGTTCGCTCACTGGCTGAGCGTGGTGATGAGAATGGCCATAAAGAGGGCCGGCCCGTGGCTCACTCGGTAGAGTGCGGTGCTGATAACACCAAGGCCCCGGGTTCGGATCCCATATAGGGATGGCCGGTTCGCTCACTGGCTGAGCGTGGTGATGAGAATGGCCATAAAGAGGGCCGGCCCGTGGCTCACTCGGTAGAGTGCGGTGCTGATAACACCAAGGCCCCGGGTTCGGATCCCATATAGGGATGGCCGGTTCGCTCACTGGCTGAGCGTGGTGATGAGAATGGCCATAAAGAGGGCCGGCCCGTGGCTCACTCGGTAGAGTGCGGTGCTGATAACACCAAGGCCCCGGGTTCGGATCCCATATAGGGATGGCCGGTTCGCTCACTGGCTGAGCGTGGTGATGAGAATGGCCATAAAGAGGGCCGGCCCGTGGCTCACTCGGTAGAGTGCGGTGCTGATAACACCAAGGCCCCGGGTTCGGATCCCATATAGGGATGGCCGGTTCGCTCACTGGCTGAGCGTGGTGATGAGAATGGCCATAAAGAGGGCCGGCCCGTGGCTCACTCGGTAGAGTGCGGTGCTGATAACACCAAGGCCCCGGGTTCGGATCCCATATAGGGATGGCCGGTTCGCTCACTGGCTGAGCGTGGTGATGAGAATGGCCATAAAGAGGGCCGGCCCGTGGCTCACTCGGTAGAGTGCGGTGCTGATAACACCAAGGCCCCGGGTTCGGATCCCATATAGGGATGGCCGGTTCGCTCACTGGCTGAGCGTGGTGATGAGAATGGCCATAAAGAGGGCCGGCCCGTGGCTCACTCGGTAGAGTGCGGTGCTGATAACACCAAGGCCCCGGGTTCGGATCCCATATAGGGATGGCCGGTTCGCTCACTGGCTGAGCGTGGTGATGAGAATGGCCATAAAGAGGCGCTGAAAGTGGCCAGAGGCAAGGCTAGAGGCGGGCGGGGCTTCGAGCAAGAAAGGGCGTGGTCGGGGTGGTGCTCAGCCTTTGAAGGTGGGGTCAGGTGTGTGGGTGTGGCCTTAGAGGAGGCATGACCTTCCCAGTTTTGGGGTGCGGGAAAATTGGTTAGCCCGGTGTCACACTTTGGGAGAAGAGGCGGCGCCTCACCGGTGATGTGGATCTCATCCACAGTCGGAGCCCGGATTTCCAGCTGCAGGCGCCCGCGGCGCTCCGTGTGGTCTACACCGCACAGGGAGGGCACGCTGCGCACACAGCGCCGGTGCACGTTCATCTCACAGCCTGGGGGGACAACACTGGAGGTAGTACCTCAAGCCCCACACCCTACCCCATACTTCCTCCCCCAGCATTTCCTGGAACCCAAACACTGTGCTTTTGAAGGAGCCCTCAAAGCGCCAAGGTCTGGCATGAACAGCCAGCGTTGCACTCACAGGAGCATTTCATGCCCTGGTGCACCAGCCCGTAAAGGAGAGAACCACAGTGATCGCAGAAGGTGGGGCTGCTGTAGCTGTGCAGGCGGAACTTGTGCTTGTTCCGGGGATCCTGGGGGCAGAGAAGAGTCGCTTAGGGGGCATCAGTAAGAGGGTCCTAAAACCCTGTGAGAGAAGCCCTTTTAACTCTCTCTCCTTGTGCCTTGCTGGCTCAGTCTTCCTGCTGCTCCCTCTCACTCATTCACTCTACAAATATTTATTGAGCACCTACTGTGTGCCAGGCACTCTTCTTGGTGCAGGGGCCCAGCACTGAACAAATCAAATAAAAAACTCCTTGCCACATGGAGTTTACTTGCTAGTGTAAGGAGACAGACTATACGCACAGTTAATAAATAAAATACATATGAAGATGGATAGTAATAGGTGCTTTGGAGAAAAATGAAGCAGGGATGGGGACCACCAGAAACTGAGGGATTGAAATTTGAAATAGAGTGGGTCAGGGAAGGACTCACTGACAAAGTGGCATTTGGGCAGAACATGAAGGAGGTGGGGGCTTCCAACATCCCATAGTTCCTACCCCCCAACACACACACACACCACCCACAAGTTGTTCTCTGAGGACTAGTGGGCCACCCTGAATTCCAGATCACTCACTGGCAGCCTCTGTCAGTGTCAGCCCACCGCATTGGTCTGCCTTCTCTAAGTCCCATGTGGAATGGGGAATATGACCCCTCAGTTACAATAGGAACCTAGGAGACCTAAATGACAGAATTGGTGTAAAACACACAGCAGGGCCTAGTGTGTCGGATGTGCTCAATACTGTTAATGCTTACTGTTGTTGTTATTGCTATGGTTGTTATTACTGATTTTATTGCAATCCCCATGTGGCCCTGAGTTTAATTAAGAGCCAGGCCACTTCTCAGCACTGTGATTTTGGGCAAGTTTGTTCCCAATTTTGAGCCTTAGTGTCCTCCTCTGTCAAGTGGAAATAAACAATCTCTATCTTGAAGCAATGCTTAATTTCCAGAGTCCAATTAAGCACAAATTTAGGACACCAGCAAAGCATCTCCTCTCCCTACCCCTGGGGGCAATGTCTGGTTGTTAAATAACTTGATATTTGTCTTTTTCTAAGAATGCATTGAAAGAATTATCATAGGATGAACATTTAGGACATTCTTGGACTTTCATTTATTTTAGTGGAGTTTCTATTCTGAATATACATTTGGGTGGGGGGAGGGTATTGGTGGTTGCTATGATCTCTTTCAATGCTCTGGGCCTCTTAAGATTTTCAGCTGACCCTAACTCAAAAGGTTCTTGTGGCACTAAATAAGATACTGTATGTGAAAGCCCTCAGCAGCGTGCCTGAGACATAAGTGAGCCAGAGACAGAAGCTGTTATTATTCTCAAAGTGAAAGTCATCATTAAAAAGAAGATAGCACTGGTGCTCTGGTTAGATAGGTCAGGGTCCAATTTTTTTTTTTAAGATTTCAATTGGCTTTACTGCGATTCTAGAATCAGGCATCATGTTATTCCATAAAATAGAATAAGTGCACCCAAGGTCCATATCTTGATTCTGTTCATTACTCAGCTGTGTGGCCTCCCCATGCCCACCCCTTGTGAGAGCCTCAAGTTTCTCATCTGTAAGATGGGGGCCATGAGGCCTCCCTGAAAAGGTCTCATGCGGACTACACAAAATCATGCTTGCCAAGTCCTTAGCACTTCTTAAGCCCTTGATCCATCCATGTTACTTACAAGGTCAAAAGCATTAAGAAGAAGAAAAAAGTGAGTGATGCAGAGGAAAGACCTCATCCTTACTATTCACCTGTTTCTTCATTGATAATAATAATAATATTAACAATAACGATAATAAATAATATTTTGGCTCTTGCTATGTGTCAGATACCACTCAAAGTACTTGACTCATTGGCTCCTCAAAACAATCCCAGAGACGGGCATGATGATCACCCCCATTTTACAGATCACGAACTCAAGAAGTGTAAATAAGTAAATTAACTTGGGGAGGGGCTGGCCGGTTAGCTCAGTTGGTTAGAACACAGTGTTATAACGCCAGGGCCAAGGGTTTGGATCCCTGAACCGACCAGTTCCCCCTCCCCCCAACAAAACCCCCAAACTTGGGGAAGGTCACCGAACTGATAAGTGGTGGAGGTGGGATTCAAGTCAGGTGTTCTGGCTCAGAAGCCTCTTATAAGCTGTCTGAGGATTTAGTCCTATTCGTATACAAGAGAGTTGATGAATGCACACAGTGAGTACTTGGTAAATCAGAGGTAGTGTTGGTGCTGGAGGTTGGTAAGTGAGGCAGGCGATCGATTATGTATATAGGTGCTGGTAGACAGTGGTGCTCAATATATGTTCTATGAAGTCACATCCTATATGTAAACATCAGTTGTCTTGACCTGACAAGCTGGCAAATGTTTCATGGACTTTTGTATCTCTCTCTCTCTCTCTCTCTTTCACTCTGTCTCTTTCTCATCCGTGCATCATAAAACTGCCTCCAACTTTGGGTCAAACACTGGGCGAAACTCTTAATCCACCTGACTTCACTGAACTGTCAAATCAAGCCTGGGGATGTCTAGATGTGTGCTGCCCCATTCAGGAGCCACTCATCACAGGTGGCTGTTTAAATTTAAATCAATTTGAATGAAATGGAATTTAGATTTCTGATCTTCAGTGGCAGTAGCCCCGTTTCAAGTGCTCACTAGCTACATGTGGCTGCTGGCTACCTACTGAACAGTACATGTACAGAAAATTTCCATCGTTGCAGACAGTTCCATTGGTCAATGCTAGATCATCAGCTCCATTTTATAGGGGAGGAAACTGAGGCTCAGAGAGAAAGTAAAGGAGGGGACAGGGATGGGAGACCAGGGTTGACTATTTTTGTAAGCCCCTGATGTGAAGAGAGAGACAGGGTTGAGGGACATTGTGTGTATCTGAATGTGTCCACCTGCGTGATTACATAGGGGAGCCATATATGCACACGTGTGGGTACATGTGTACTGCAGGATCTCTCTGGGCCTCCCTCTCTCATTGTCTCCTAGGCTGTTCTCTATATCCACCATTTTCTATTTTAGTCTCTCTCTCCCGGTATATGTCTCTCTCAGTTTGTCTGTCTGTCTCAGTGCCTCCAAATTCCTTTCTCTTTCCCCCTGTGTTGCTTTCTCTGGTCCACTTCATTCCCTGATTCTACTTCAATCTCTCCTTCTGGGTCTCTCTCTTTTTCTGTATCTCTGTTCTTCTTTCTGAAATTCTCTCTCTATTTTATCTCAGGATCTCAGTACCTGCATTGATATTTTCCTCCCTCTGTCCCTCAGCTCTCAATTTTTAAAACCTCTTCACCACTGGATAGATCACAGCCCACCCCCTCCAGTGCCCATCTTTGGTCCTCTCACCCTTGTCTCCTCTTTGTCCCCCACCTATGTCCCCAGCCTGTCTCTGTCCCCCTCACATTCCCCCTTTCCAGGCCAAGGGCAAGGAATCTGGGCCAGACTAGCTCCCCCTATCTCTCCAGCCCCCCTCCCCTCCCAGCCTTAAAAATAGCAGGAGAAATTGGGACGGTCGCCGAGGGGGTGAGGGCGGGGATGCGGCCTGAGGAGGAAGAACCAGGTGTCCGGGCACTCACGTCTGTCTGGGGGCCCTTCCCAGCGCCTGGACACTCGAAGGTCACAAATTCGTGGCATCGCCGATGAACCACAAAGCTGCAGACTGAAGATGAAAATCATAGAGACACAGAGACAGAGAGAGACATGGATCAATCCAGAGAGAGACCCCAACGGACATAAAATTAGAAAGAGAGAGACTCCAACAGAGAGAAAATGAGAGAGGGATCCCAACACAGAGAGAGTCCCGACAGAGAGAGAATCAGAGAGACCCCAAAGTGGAGAGAGAGAGAGAGAGAGGAAGAGAGAAGAAAGAAACCCAAGAGATGGACTCAAAGACAGAAACAGAGAATCACAGGGAAAGATACAGAGCATAGAGTCTCTCTGATAAACACATACACAGCCCAAGGGAGACAGAGAGAGAGATCGAGAGAAAGAAAATAGGATCCCATGGACAGACACAGGCCCTCAGACAGAGATAAGAAAGCGAGAAGGAGAGAGGAAGACAGATTAAAGAGAGAAAACAGAAATATCCTCAGACGCAGCAGACAGACAGCAGCAACTTGGACAGAAGTGAGTCTGGGGGCGCTGCTGCCGGCCCGCCCCCTATCCTGACTCACTCTGTTCTCAGCAGTAGCAGCTGGCGCTTCAGGACTCGCCCCCCTCTCCCATCCCCCATAACTGCCACCCCACCAGGCCCCCACCAGCCCATCCCATCAGTGACCCCACCCAGCCTGCCCCTGCCTAGGACGGTGGGTGTTGTCATGGCGATGAAAGCCTGGGGAGGGGGGGAGACTCTGACTTTGCATCTCTAGCCCCTTCCTCCTCGCCCCCACTTCAGCTCCCCTTTTCCAAATCTCCCTGTTCCCATGGCAACAGATTCTCCAAATATCTGTCCCCACCTGGAGCCGGCCGAGGGTGGGGCCCCCAGCACCACCTCCGCTGTGGCCCCACCATCAGAGCTCCCTCCCCACCACAGGCTGTGTCTCTGCCACACCCCCCCGCCCCGGGCTCCCCCGCGCCTCTCTGGGGACCAGAGAACACGTGTGTCAAGCAGCCTCAGCTGTGGGGCTCCAGCCTCCACCCTCCTGAGTGTCCCAGGAATCCAGGTCCCCAGTTCTTACCTTGACATTGCAGGCCCTGTTTTCCAATACCCCTGGAAGAGTCAAGGATCTGAAGTCAGTGCAGAAAGGGGTAACTGGAAACCCACCACCCCATAACCTCTGTGGCCTTAGGGGGTCTGTGACCTCCGACACTCCTCCTGCAGGGCCCAAGTGTCTGAGCCCAGGCCACCTCCTCTTTAGAGAACCCAGAAATCTGGCCCACAGCCTTTTTCCTTTCAGACCCAAGACTCCAGCCCCCAGTTCCTCCTTCCTTCCCACCCAGGAATTCAGTCTCCCAGTCCCTTCCCCCAAGGCCCCTTCTCCCTCAGACCCAGGACTTCCGGACCCCGAGGACCCCAGCCTTCACACACACACACACACACACACACACACACACACACACACACACACACACAATCCTAGAACCCAGGAGTCAGAGCTACAGCCCCCTCCTTCCCCCTCACTCAGGGTTCTGGTGTGACAGGAGTCTGCACCCCCAGCCCCCTTCTTCCTCAGGCCCACAGCCCCCTTCCCTCACCAGATGAAGTCGGTACAGTGGCTGCAGAAGGTCGGCTGCTTGAAGAAGCGGGCGGTGAACTTGTGGCTCTTGACTTCATGAACCACCTTCTGCCTCAGAGCCCCCTTTCTGCAAAACAGGGGCCGGGGTCCCCCCTCTGAATCGCCTCCTCCGGGGCCCAGACCCGACATGGCCCCAGGAACGTAGCACGGTCCGGGATTCTGCCTTTCTGGGGAAACAGGTGGAAGGGAGAGGAGCCACAGGGAAATTCCGAGGTGGGAAGGAGAGGGGCGAGGCACCTCCAGGTGCGGAGCGCGCTGGGCAGGCGGCGGCACCCCCGGGCGAGCTCGATCCGCCGGGGGGAGGGGGGAAGAGCAGAAGGCAGGGGCACGGACGAGCCAGAGGCACGGGCGGCGGCGGTGGGAGCTCCAGCTCCGGCACCTGCTGAAATGTGGGAGCCCGGGTGGGGGGAGGCGTTGCCAGGACGACCGAGGGGCGGGGTTTCTGCTTAAAGGCGCCCCCCTCCCTGACACATGGGACAAGTGCCCTCCCTCCTCCCCTCCCTCTCACGTGCACACACCCACTCGGGGGGTTGGCTGGAGGGAGGGGGCATCCTCGGAGGCTTGCTCATTCCCCGCCCCCCGCGTCAATCTGTCATCCTGCCCGCTCTTCTTCCCCCGCTAGGGTGCCTTGGTGGGTCCTGTTAGCCCACTGCGTCTCCACTCGGATCTCTGCGACTTTGACCGTGCCACTCTGCTTCAATTAAAAACTTTGTACTCAGGGCTGGGAATCCAATGGTGAACAAGGAGGCTTGGTGTTTCACTTTCTCCGATGCTTCTTGAGTCTTTATTTCTCTCTGGGCTTCGGGATTTTTACGGCTATGGCTTCCTCTGGGAGTGTCTCTTTTTCTTGACCTGTTCTTCTTCCTCTATTCCTGGAGTTCTCTCTCTGTGTCTCTGTTCCTGTGTCTCAGTGGATCTGTTCTTCTTTCCCTGTCTCTGAGAATTTCTGCTTCTACTTCTCTGTTTTCTTTGCTGCGTGTCTCTATCTATGTCTGTCACTCTGATTCTTGGTGCCACTGCCCCTCTCTGGGTCTTGGTCTTTCTCTCTCTCTCTGTTTCACTGTGAATTCGGCTCCTTCTGTCTCTACTCATAAATTCTTCCACCTCCCACCTCTTTCTCCCAAGTCTCTCCCTTTCCTTGTCTCTATTTGTCTCTCTGGCTCTGTGAATCTCTATTTTCTCTCTTCTCTTCTCTTTCTCTCTCTCTCCCTCTCCCTGTCTCTCTCTCTCCCTCTCCCTGTCTCTCTCTCTCTCTCAGTGCTTCCTCTTGTCTCTCCCTCTCTCCCCATGTCCCTGTTTTTGTAACTACCTTTTGTCTCTGTCTCTCTCTCTCTCACTTTCTCTCTGCTTCTATCTTCCTCCTGCATCTCTCTGTTCAGTCTGTTTCTCTGTGCCTGTCCCTTTCTGCTTCTGTCAATCTCTCTCTGTCCTGGGGGAGGGGAGGGGGGAGGACGGGGTCTCTCCCTCTCTCTGTCTCTTTATAACTCTGTCTCTCTCCCTGCTCTCTTCTATGTCTCTGCCTATCTCTGTCTCTGTCCCACTCTATTTGTCTCTCTGACTTTATGAATCTTTATGTCTCTGGAAGTGTTTCCCTCCCTCTGCGTCTCTCTGGCTCCCCGTCAATCTCTCTCTCTGTCAAGTCTCTCTGAATATTTGCAACTGTCTACCCCCCCATGTCTCTCTGTGGTTCAGTCTCTCTCCCTCCTCTCTTCCCTCTCTGTTTATCTCTGTCTCTGTCCCTTTTTCTCTGGCCCACTCACTTTTCGTGTCTCTGGCACTGAGAATCTCTCTCTGTGTGTCTCTGGTGGTGTCTCCCTCCCTCTGTGTCTCTCCGAGTCTCTCAGATTCAATCTCTCTGTGTCTCTCTGGCTCTGTGAGTCTCTCCTGTCTCTGGGGGTCTCTCCCTCCCTCTTTGTGTCTTTGTGATTCAATCTCTGTCCCTCTCTCCTATTTGTCTCGCTGCCTCTGGAATTCTCTTCCTGGGCATCTCTGTCTTGGGGTGCGGGGTGCCTTGACGAGCGCCGGCGCTGTCGGCCTCTCCTGTCTCCCTCCCTCTTCACCCTCTTCGCGGCTCTACCCGCGTCTCCGCCTCTCTTTGGTGGCGCTCTGTCCCTCCCCCGGCTCCAGAGCGCTTCGCTGTCCCGGCTCCGGGGGAGACCGGCTCTGTTGCCAGGGGCAACCATTGCCCTCCCCGGAGCTGCGGGCCTCAATGCATCCTGGGACATGTAGTCCGATCCTGCCGACCGGCCGATTTCGGGCCGCGGCTTAGAACTTCCTCTCCCGGCGTGCCCCGCGGAATTGGGCGGGGCGCTGCGGCGGCGCCTGGGAACGCCGGCCGCCCACCATTCCTTCTCTGGGACTGTTTGGGGGTCTGGGGGTCGGGATTCCAGTATTTCTGAAGCCGAAGGGAAGGTTGGGGATCCGAGTTCTCTCCTAAGCACCCCGCCCCAAATGTGCGGTACGCCGGCCTTCCAGCCGCCTCTAGGCGTCCGTCGTGTCCCAGGGCGGAGGATAGGGGGCGGGGTGGCCCCGAAAACTGACCTAGGAATCTCATCGCTTTCTAGTCCAGCTCTCCTTGGGTTCTTTCCCCAGTTTTCACCACAGGTTTTATAGCTTTTCTTTTCGATGGCTTCCAGAGAGGGATTCAAGTATGGGGTGGGGAGGGAGAGAGGTGGGGGAGAAGGTCTTTGAGAAGACAGGGATTGCTGTAGTTCGGCGCTCTGAGGTGGACAAGGTAGAGATTAAAAGGAGGCTTTTCCTCACCACAAGAGTGCGTGCGTCCTAGCTGGCCCTTCCTTCTCCCCTTCCAGCGGGACCCTTCTCTCCCTTGCAATATCTCATCTCAGTTGCTTTTGCGGATGTAGATGCAAAAAGGGGGTTGCATGACCCTAGAATTTTTCCGGTTTTATATATTTTGTGATTCTCCTCAGGTTGGGGAAAGGACAAGATGACCTTCTGTGGGACAGATTCATCGCAGGAGTAATTCATTTGATGTTTATCAAGTCTTTTATTGACTGGGTGTAGTGAGGGAGCTTAGAGCTCAGCTAAGATGGTGCTGACGGTGAGAATGCCGACAGGATCAAATCCTGAAGGCCTTGAATGCTGGACTGAGGGGCTTTGATAGCTCCTATAGGCAACGTGGAGTGGGAATGAAGGGATTTCAGTAGGGGAAGGCAGGATCATATCTGGATGTTGGAAGAATCCCTTGGGGCCAGGGTGGGTGGTTGGAGGTAGGATGGTCAAGGAGGAGGCTGGGGCAATAGCTTAGGTGAAACAAAATGGAACCTGAGCTGGGCCAGGAACTTGGAGAAGGGGCAGATATAAATGGTATTTAGGAGGAAGAATGAATAGACAGTGTTTGATGAACAACTGACTGAGGAGAGGGAAGAAGGCAAGAACAAGTGCTTGGGTTCTTAGCCCTGAGAGGTTGTGCCTGAGATGGGAAACCTAGGAGGAAGAGTTGATTTTGGAGGAAAGGCTGCACCCAAATTGGGACATATTTTTGAGGTGCCCATGGGACTCCAAGGAGAGAGAAATCATGTTTATTTCTATCCCACCCTGCTCTCCTGGTGTGAGGGAGTAATTCAGAAGACCCAGACTCAGCTAGCATTTTTTGATGAATCTAAGGTTGTCTTGGCTCCAACCCCCTCCTCCCACCAGACCCAGGAATGTGGGCCTTGCCCCTATATTGGAACCCTCCCCATACCCCAATAAAAAGAAAGCACCAATCCTTCTTTTATCTTTCTATTGAAATTTAAAAAAAAAAGAACATTATGGATGTGGAAGTGGGGGAAGGGACAAGGCTTCTCTCTATGATTGACAGCAGGAGCTGATGAAAACCAAAAGCTCTGGGAAATTAAAAAAAATAAAATATATATAAAAAAAAAAAGAACATTATGGATGTGGAAGTGGGGGAAGGGACAAGGCTTCTCTCTATGTTTGACAGCAGGAGCTGATGAAAACCAAAAGCTCTGGGAAATTAAAAAAAATAAAATATATATTTATACATTTATATATATCATGTTATGCATGTGAGTCCCAGAGAAGCAGGAAGCAGCAAGAAGCAACTAGCACACAAAAATACACGTGCGTGTGCACCACACACTCAAGCAATGCCATTCCTCTGGCTATGGCAGAAGCAATCCTCACCCTGACACCCACCTCCCCAACCCATTCACCTCCCCCCCCGAACAAAGGAAACTTTCCTCTTTAAGAACAGGGCCACCCAGTAATTTTTGCCCTCATGACCAGAAAAAAAGAAAAGAAAAAAATCCAGACTGATAGTGCCTTAAAGCCAACAGTGGCCATTTTCTTGTCCTCACCAAAGCAGGACATGATATTTTTAACACTGAGTCTGGAAGGCCACATCACTGCCCCTCACAAGTACTTCATACGGTTGTCTTCAAGACTATGTGGTTCTTTGCCCGGCTCCTTCTTTTGATACCACAGACAATAGTTGGGATGAAAGACATCCACTCCTTGCTTCTTTTAAAATGGCCTCTAGGCAGTGGGTTTTTAGTAAGCCTGGCAAAAATTCTGGAGCCAATCTTAGGCAAGGCTGAATGCCAGGCAGAACCGAAGGACCCAGGGTCTGTGCCTAAAGCCTCCCACCCACTGGAAATTATTGACCTCCAGAGATTTTTAACCTAAAGGGGAGGTGCACTGTACACCCTCCTCCACTAGGAGAAAGGGGGCCCAATCCCTAGCTCCCACCCCTTATCCCCCCAAACACACACGTACGCACTGACTAAGGCACAGCTAGGGCGGGCAGGCATGCTTTGGCAATAAGGCCCTTGGCAGAGCCATGGAAAGGATAGCTGCAAAGAGGAGTGTGGGGTGTGTGGAGCTCAGCACCTTTGGAGGTGGGGCGGGAGGAGAAGGCGAAAGAAGTCTTAGGGCTCCTGAGGAAATAAGAATAGGTGGTCAAGAAACAGGCAGATGAGAAAACCAACAGGAAAATCAACCACAAAGAGATGACAGCAAAAAAAGAGAAGCAGCTCAGAGGCAAAACAGGATGCGGGCTACAGAACAAAACAGGAAGGAAAGGAAATGGAGAGCAAGAGGAAAGAGGAGAAAAGGAGTCAGAGAAACAGGAAAGAGCATGATAAATCAGAAAGGAAATAAAAAAGATGGGAGGGAGGGGAGACAGGAGGAGGAAATAGGAAAGGAAGAGAAAATGGGGACCCAGTAAAAAACTCAGGAGAGAAGAATGAAGCAGTTGGAAAGAGGGAAATGGGAGCCCCTTGGGGGAATCTTAGACCTTGACAAAAACCAGACGGGCAGAGTACACCAGGTCCGCTAAGTAAGCCAGAAGGTTGATGGCCGTCAAGATAGCCACAGCCAGTCGGCGGTCCCAGGAACACACAGAGTGGACGTGTTTGCTGGCACAGTTCACATCTCTCGCCCGCTGGGGCTGGCCGCCATACCTCTCATCGAACTGGTAGAGGGGCCAGAGGATAAGAGCAGTGGCGTAGAGGAGGACGGACAGCAATGCCAGCCCTGACAGGAAACTGGGGAAAGGGATGGGCAGAACATTGGTGCAGTCCCCCAGGTTCAGCAGAATGGCCACTGCTGCCAGGATGAAGCAGATGGCATACACTGCCACGCACCACTCCAGGGCCGGCTTCTGCTGGTACAGGTTGGGGTTGCTGATAAAGGCAAAGATGACACAGGCCACAAAGGTCTCCAGCACCTTGAGCAGCCCCGGCACGGTGGCCATATAGCCAGTGATCTCGCCAGGCCGGGCCCGGGTCCAGGCCACTTCAGTGGCGTATGCCACACAAGCGATGCAGGAGAAGACGGTAGCAGCAATGGCGTGGTCTCGGGAACGGCCAGGAGACAAGAACTGGACATAGGTGGTGGGGTAGATGATGGAGGCCGAGAGGCAGAAGAGGGCGGCGTAGCAGGCATAGGTGATGGGAAAGTTGCGCCAAGACAGCGGGAAGCGGGCCTGGAGCCCGCCTAACTCAACGATGATGATGATGAGGGTCACGGCGAAGCAGAAGCACCATGTGAACATAGACCAGTTACCCATGGGCCCTGTCCAGGCGCCCACACTCGCCACCAGAGAGAATGCCACACAGGTGGACAGCAGCTGCAGCAGGCGGAGGAGGCCCAGGGGACGGGTCAGTGCCCAAGGGGACCCCACGATGGTTGAGGACCCTAGGCCTGAGGATGATGACGTGGTTGTGATGGTGGTGCGGGTCACTGTCACCGGCATGGCTTGAGGGAACAGAAAACACACTGTCCTAATAAGGTGTCAAACATGGGAATCCAGGCCCCCCTAGTCCTCGCCTCCCCTAGAGGACAAATCAATTTGGGCTCTAGTTAGTGAGTTCCCAGGATGTGGGGCTTTCAGTTTTCAAACCGGGACAGTCATGAGCATATAGGGACAAGTTGGTCACCCTGGTTCTAGGCTCGCTCCTCCCCCACCTATATCAGAACCCAGGAGTCTAGGCTCCTATTGTTCTCCTTCCCAAGAGACCCACCTTCTCTCTCTTGAGACCAAACTACTTTAGAACTACATTTCTTTCTTCCCTGTCCAGATACCCAAAGCTGTACTCTCTCTGTGCTCTTCTTCCCCCAGGGACTCAGCAATCCAGCTATTTAAGACTCTGGCCTAAAGCATCCTTCCTCCCTCTGCCTCCTACCACCACTTATGTGTCAAGACAAGAGGCCTGTCTTCAGGCTCTAAAACCCCCATCTCTCTACTTCCTCCATTTGGGTATCCAGGGCTCTGCACCCCAGCTTCTGTGAGCAAACTTCCTTCTCGCATCGAACAGTGACTTAGATATTTCCAGCCTTGAAACATCCAAGAATACAACCTCCCTGAGCTTACATTCTCAGGGACCCACAAATGATCAGAGATCCCAACCTCCCATTCTGTCTACTGTCACAGAGATCCCGGGTCCTGGAAAACCAAGAGTTCTCCTCTCCCTTATGCAATGGGGTCTAAACTCTCAGCAGCCCCCCTCCTCTCCCCACCCCCCACCTCAGAGATCAGGCATCTATGCTCTCAGTCTAATTCCCACCTCAGATTTAAGTCTGGAGTCCTGCAACCTAAAGGAAGCTGCCCAACCAGACAGCCGCCAAAAAGAGTGCAAAAACTGAAAGTAAAAAAAACTAAAGGAAACTGAGTTCCTTATCCCCCCTACCCACTCACACACACCTAGTTCACCTCCCCCCCTTCCCCAGAAGCTTCTGGGAAACTCAGCTCCCCACATTCCCGACTGTCCAGTCCCCAAGCCCTTTCCACTGAAATCTCTAGGCCTCACAGTTCAGTTATCTAGAGTCAGACCTCTGAACTACAGGCCCTCAGCCTTGAGTATACAAGATGCCCTAGACTTTAAGAAACTAGCTTATTTTCTTCCATCCTTCCAAAACCTACAGCTTTCACCTCCTTGTCCCAAAGACCCTCAGGAATCAAGTGCCCAGCCTCTTCAGGACCAGGTGCTCAGATCCTTCCTCAGGCCTCAAAATGTCTAATCTCTCCGGCCGAGAGTGTGGCGCTGGGAACGCAGCTGCACTCCTGCCGCGGGTTCGGATCCTATATAGGGATGGCCGGTGCGCTCACTGGCTGAGCGCACTGCAGCCGGTCTCAAAAAAGACAAAAAAAAAAAAAAAAAAGTCTAATCTCTCAATCGACAACCCCAAAAGCTTCAAGAGGCCTCTCTCGCCACAGGGAAATAAAACTTCCTCCTTTCAGCGTCAGGCACACAGGAGGGCTTTAACAACTCTTCCGGGCCACTGTCTCAGAACAGCTACTAGCTCCTGAATACTCTTTTTCCTCAGTTACATGGGTTGTCTGGGACCCTCTTCCTTGGACCTCAAGATCCCCGGTCCTCTCAGGATTAGGAGTCCTGGTCCCCAGCCCCTCCTCCCTAAGACGTTGGAGTCCTGGCCCCCAGGCCCTCTGCCCACACACTTAGGAGTCTGGGTTCCCACTCCACTCACCAGAGGTCTTAGCTGAGGACCCAACGGAGAAGGATCTGGCTGTTAAGACGGATTAAGTCACACACGTGGAAAAATTTGGTAAGAGCACCTGAGGGGGAGAGAGGACGTCAGCGTACGGCTCAGACTGGGCCTCTCCCTTCCGGGACCCAGACAACCTGCTGGACCCGCCGTGAGATTCCGCAGCCTGGGTGCGCCTTCCTGCCTTGGCAGGGAATTGGCCCGGAGTCCCAAAAGGGACCGGGCGGTGACCCCGGAGAAGCCCCGCCCCTCTCCTTCCTCCCCTTCTGCAAATTGTGTGGGCCGCAGTGGGGAGGAACGGGTGAAAGTGCACGCCCCGCGGGCCTGTGCTGGTGGTGCCCGTGGGATCTTAACCCTGCTCGGGCCAGAGAATCCGCGCGGCCGGCTGGCGGGAGGGCCCTGGGCGGTGGCTGCGGGGGCGGGCGGCCCGGCCAGGGCCAGGCGTCTCCGCGCCTTATATGGGCTTTAAGTCAGCGCAGCCATCTGGAATGTGGCGGGGACCAGAAGGCGGTGCCGGGACCCCCGCCCTGCGCGGGCCTCCGGGATTGCCCGCTCCGCTCCTGGATATCCGGAGGGTGGGGGGCCGGACTCCCAGGTCCTCGGAGGAGAGGGCTGAAAGGCCGAATCTGGGGGTCATAGAAAGTGTGAATTCTTGGTCCCTATAAAGAGGGGCAGGGAGCCTAGACCCCCAAGATTATTTTTAAGAAAGGAATGGGCTGAGACCGCGGACTCCCGGGCTCGCCTGGCGGAGGGCCCAGGCTCCAGGCCGGAAGCTGCGCGCAGTGCCGGGATCAGCCCAGAGACCGGTAGCCACACCCCCACCACCTCCCGGAACGCAGGTCCCTCAGCAAGGAGGGGACCTCCTGGACCTCAGACACCTCCTGCTTCCCCACGCCCCTCCACGACCCGTTAGCGGGAAGTCCGGACTAGCCCAACCTCCTGCGCTCTCGAAGGCGGGCCACTGTCCCGCCCAAGCCCGGGAGGAGGAAGGGAGCGCCATAGCTCATGCAGTCTCCAGTGGAAGGTGGGTTAGCAGCGGAGAGGGGGCAAAATGGGGGAGGAGGACCTCTCGGAGGGGAGGGATACATGTCCGCCCTCAGGAACTCCAGCCGTCGCCTGAGGTCAGAGCTAAGGAATGCACAGCCGGAGAGAGAGGGAGGGAGAGGAAACGCCCCTCCAGGCTTCTTCAGAGCCTAAGACTCCTTCGGCCGCACCCAGCACCTCAGTACCCTCCCCACCTTCACTCAAAACACCACACTCGTCATCCAGCAGACTCAGAATCGGGACCCCGAACTTCAGCCTCTGCTCTCAACACCCAGGGATGCTAGACTCAGCCTTTTCTCTCCTGGCTTCCCAGCTCCATCCTCACTTTAGGAGCTCAGGTGCTGGATCTCAGCCCCTTGTCCTTCAGGGAGTTGAAAGTTCCAATTCGGTCTGTCCCCTGGGTGGGGAAGGAGTCAGTAATTCTGAACTCCACTCAATCTCTTTCCCAAACCCAGGACTCCTAACCCCAAGTTCCTCCCCTTCTAAGTATCTCACTTACCAAATTCAAGCCCCTTCAACCTGTGCATCTAGGAGTCTCCATTTCTGTATGCCCTCAGATCCAAGAGTCCAGGTCCCCAGCCCCTCCTCCCTCAGACTCAGGAGTCCAGGTCCCCAGCCCCTCCTCCCTCAGACTCAGGAGTCCAGGTCCCCAGCACCCTCCTCCCTCAGACCCAGGAGTTCAGGTCCCCAGCCCCTCCTCCCTCAGACCCAGGAGTCCAGGTCCCCAGCCCCTCCTCCCTCAGACCCAGGAGTCCAGACCCTCAAAGCCCTTCTCTCTCATTCCTAGGATTCCCGGCCTCCAACCCGCTCCTGCCTCAGATCCAGGTGTCCAGGCCCCGTTCCCCTCCTCTTTCAGATGTGTGACCTGTAGGGGTTCAGGTCCTCAGCCCTCTCCTCTCCGGGACCCAAGAATCCTGGCCCTGCCTCAGCCTTTCTAGGCACCCGGACATTGACTCCCAGCCCATTTTTCTCTCTAGACCCAAGAATCCTGGAACGCTGCTTCCGCCTTCTGGGGTCCCCGAAGCCTCACCTCGCTGACCAGTGGCGACTGCGGCTGAAGCAAAGACGACAGCTGGAGACTAGAAGGGTCTGCGGGCTGGGTGGGGTCGGCGGTCTGAGCAGTGAGTGCGGGCGGGGCCGGGGGGGGGGCCGGAGACAGGGCCCAGCTCCTTGCTGGAGCCCGGAAAGGGACTTCCCCGAGCTTGGGCTATCCCCAGCCCCGCCCCGGGGCGTGGCCAAGATCGGGCCACGCCCTTTCCGAGGATAAATGTAGCGCAGATCTCCCGCCCTACCAGGGACGGGGGTGGGGGGCTGAGGTCACCGTTGCCGTGGCGACAAAACAGGAAGACACAACAGCTGGCGGAGTGGGGGCTCTTGCGGGCTGCCCTCCCCGACAGAGCCCTAGAGAAGTCTCCAGGGTAGGCCAGGGAAGGCCGTTACCACAGAAACCCGAGTGTTTAGGGTTTGTTTAGCTGGGACCCCCTCAGCTCAGGTCCCCACCCCCAGTCTCACCTCACTCAATTTTCCCTCTCCTTTCCTCCCACCTCCTTCCTTGTCTGCTCCGGTCCCTCGTTCTGTCATGGTGGGTGAAACCTTAGACACCTGGGGCGAAGCGGATTGGAGGACCAGGCACCCCAGTTTAATGGGGTTCGTGGGCTAGGGTCTCTGTCTCTTGGCTCCCTGAAAGAGAACTGAGTTGAGTGTGCCAATCCCTGTGCTTTTTCTTTTTCTTTTTTTTAAAGGATATAATTTATTAGAACTTTGAAGTTAACAATTTATTGAAGTCAGAAATAAAATATTTAGAAATCTAGAAGTCCCAGAAATTAGATCTTAAAGGATTTAGGATTCAAATAATTCCTGATAAAAAGCTTAAATATTAAATCTCTGTGCGTCAAGAGCTTCTTGACTAGGATCCCTGACTCCTGTCCCCCAACCCCCCATCCTCCGCCACAAAAACACAAATACAGATTCCTGTATTTATTTAAGGATCTTCAGCGAGAGCAAAATGATCCCCTAATTCCCTTTACACTGGAACCCGTGTGTAATAGACTGGCTGGTAGACTTCTGGGTTTCAGATATCATAGTCGATAGGCGTGTGGGTGGGGGTGTTGGCAGCAAAACCCTGGGGCCTAGCGCAGTAGGAGTTGGAGGCACGGACTCCTGGGTTCCCCATGATGCCTAGCCTAGGGGCCCAGATTCTTGGCTCAAAGAGCAGTCAAAGCTCAGACTCCTGGGTTTCCAGAGCAGATGTGGTTGCAAGCCGAGGCTCCTGGGTCTGGAAGGGAGAGATATTTTTGGCCTGCATTCCTGGCTCCTGGACAGGAGGAGGGACTCAGAATCTTAATGAGGACGGGGCTGAGGCTGGGGGCTCTGGATTCCTGGTTCCTATAAGAAGGAAGGGGATCCAATGGGCCGGTGTGCCCAGGGCCCCAGAGCAGGGAAAGGCTGCAGGGTTCGTCTTTAGGCGCGGCCCTGCGACCTTAAAAGGGTCTGACCAAGCGAAGAAGGAAGAGAGAGCTTCAGGTCTGGATGTCGGGGTCCCGGGGAGGGGCAGGGCGATCCCCAGGACGCCTGGGTCCCTCCCTTCTGGCCGCTCACTCACCGCGCTCTGCAGTCGTCCCGGGCGCGGCCTTCCTGGCGGCTGCTTCTGGGCGGGGCCTGGTGGCGGCTGCGGATGCTCTGCGACGCTGAGCTAACAGGGCGCTTCCCCCCGCTGCTGCCGCTGGGTACCTTCCAGGCTGACAACTAACTGAGAGGTTTTGAGGCAGAGCCCTAGGGTGGACGCCGCACTAGTCGCGAAGGGAGGGGTCGGAAGGGGTCTGGGAGATCTGTATACCCGCTCTGTGCCCTACGGAGGTGGGAGGGGCTGGCGGGGGAACCTGGGCGCCGTGTGCTCTGCAGAAGTGGCGGGGGAAGAGGAGAGGGTGGGAGGAAAGCAGAGTTTGTATGCCCACTTTTGTGCCCCTGCAGAGGGAAGGAGGCACAGACCTTCTTTGTCATTCTGTGCCCTGCGTGGAGGAGGGGGTCTCGGTGAGCCCAGCATTAGACCTTGCCAAAAGAGGGAGGGCCTATGGGCAGATAGGGAGTCAAGTCATGGTGTGAGTTGGAGGCTCCCCAGGGACATCCCTAGATTCTATTCACACGCCTAACTGGCCCCAAGTGTAGCAACATCTCTTTCCCCCTCCTGCCTGGATCAGTCACTCTCTTTACCTGATCTATAGTGACAGGCTTGAGGTATCCCTAAACGGTCCTGAGGTTGTCTCCATCTCCACAACTTGCTATGTTGTGCCCCATGGTGGAAGCGTTCCCCCTTTAGGTATTAAAACCCCTCAACAGCAGAGTTCAAGGTAAACCCCTCAACAGGAGAGTTCAGAAGAAGTCCCCAAATAGCAACGTTCAAGGTGGCAGGAAAGCAAACATTTGAAAAGTGAGTCATTGGGTGTGATCTTGAGAACTGGCACCCTTGAGTTCCCAGGTCTCTGTCATCTGGCGTCATGTATGTGCCACCGGCTCAGAGTGTTTACCCATCCTGTAGAACAGCACCCGAACCCCAAACGTATCTCTAACCTGGAACTTGTTACTCAGTCTTAAACAGGCTGTGTCTGTTCTCTGAGACTAGCTGCTTTGGGGTGATGGGGTATATGGACTCTCCTCCACCACTGACTTCCTAATAGAGTTTCTTGATCAGAAGCAATATTGTGTGTGTTAACATGATGGTGAATAGGCCATTCAGTGCATACACAGATGCTACTGTTAGCAGAAGTGCAAAGGGCAAGAAAAGCAAATAACAAGCCAGAGTTATTTATTCCAGGGTGGAAAAACTTTTTGCTCAATCCGTGATAGAAGGGTCCAATGTAATCCTCAGATGGCCAGATATTTGGCTGGTCTTCGTAGGAAACTGTACCATATTGGGGGCTCAGCAATTGCTTCTGCCATCTACATGGGCATTTCTCAGTGACATAGCTGACTAAGGTTTGGTGAGGCAAATATCCATGTATAATCCACCATGACCACTTTGTTCATGAGCCCATTGAGCAAGCACTGGGGAGGATAGGGAAAGAGGCTGACCGAGAGCCACAGAGTGGTCATCTGATCTACCAGATGGCATAATAACATTCTCTATAATAGAGGTTTTGGGGGGAGACTTCACCTGGGATATAGATTATGAACTGTTTTTCACTCCCAACACTTCTGACACCAAATGTGCGGGTATTTTTTTTTCACACCAACAACAAAGTCTCCACCTCTCCAGACACCAACTGAGTGTCCAATGATTCAATTAAATTCTGACACTAACCACTCAGAGTTAGTGTCAGACCCTACAGGTTAAGGGCTCAGTCCCACAAGACTACATCCACTTTAGATACCAATTGCAGGTCCCAGGCTATCTGTACTTCTGATCAACTAGCTATAAATTTGGAGTTCCCACGACCCCTCCTCAATTTTGATAATTTTCTAGAACGACTCACAAAACTCAGGAAGTTACTTTACTTATGATTATCTGTTTGTTATGAAGGATCCAACACAGGAACAGCCTAATGGAAGAGATGCATAGGGCAAGGTATGGGGGGAGGGATGTGGAGCTTCTATGTCCTCTCTGCGTGTCCTCTCCACCCTCCCAGAACCTCAATGTGTTCACCACCTCGGAAGCTCTCCAAATCCCTTAATTTAGGGTTGTTATAGAGGTTCCGTTACTTAGGCCCGATTGATCAAATCATTGGCTGTAGGTGATTGAACTCAATCTCCAGCCCCTCTCTTCTCCCCTGAGGTCAGGAGGCGGGGCTGAAAGTTCCAACCCTCTAATCACATGGTTGATTCCTCTTCAATGGGCCCCCAACCAGAAGCTATATAGGAACCCACCAAGAGCCAGATCATTAGCATAAATGCAGATGTGGTTGAAGGGGGCTTATTATGAAGAGTAAAAGATGCCCCTCTCACCCCTATCCCTCAGGAAATTACAAGGGTTTTAGTTCTGTGTCAGCAACTGGTGACAAAGGCCAAATATACATTTCTTATTATATCACACAATATCACACAGGTATTTCCATACTTTGGGCCCATTTGAAAGTTTATTCATCAACAAATATTTATGCACCAACAAATATTTATGAGTGCCTCTTGTGTGAGAACAAAGCAGGCTAAAAAATGCCTGCTCCAATGGGGATTTTTATCTTTTCGTTAGTGGCAAATGGTTCAAGATGGAGTAACTTCTCCATTTGGTGGGAATATTCCTACTGTCCTCAGACTGTTGGATTCTTAACAACTTCCCTGATGTGACACGCTCCCCAGTTTTCTTGGTAGGTGGGTGTCTCTGGCATGTATGTGTCCTCATAAGACATACAGAGTATCTGCTCCTTCCCGCTTTTTCTGTCTTAGCACGATGTCATCAAAGCAGTTGATCAGAATGGTACGTAGAGGGTATTGAAAGATTAAGGTACCTGGAGAGTACATTGGGAAACAGAATCACAGAAATAGTGTAACCCTGGGGGAAAGTATTAATAGTACCACTATCCATCTGAATTAGCTCCCTGGAGTTCTACCAAGTCATCATAATCTCGATGGCTTAAAACAACAGAAATTTATTCTCTCACAGTTCTGGAGACCAGAAGTCTGAATTCAAAGCCTAAAATCAGAAGTCTAAAATCAAGCAGGGGCCGGCCCGTGGTTCACTCGGGAGAGTGCGGTGCTGATAACACCAAGGCCCCGGGTTCGGATCCCACATAGGGATGGCCGGTTTGCTCACTGGGTGAGCGTGGTGTTGACAACACCAAGTCAAGGGTTAAGATCCCCTTACCGGTCATCTTTTAAAAAATAAAAAAATAAAAAATAAATAAATAAAATCAAGCAGATCCTCACTGCCTATGGGAGCTCTAAGAGAAAATCAGTTTCTTGCCTCTTCCAGCTTCTGGTGACTGCCGGCGTTCCTTGTCTTGTGGCCTCACTACTCGAATCCCTGCCTCTGTCTTCACATCACCTCCTCCTCTGTGTGTGTCTGTGTCTGTCTCAAATCTCCTCAATCTCTCTCTTATTAGGACATTTATCATTGGATTTAGGGCTTACCTGGATAATCCAGGATGATCTCCTCACCATGAATTCTTTAATTTAATCATATTTGCAAAGACCTATTTCCAAATAAGGTAACATTTACAGGTTTCAGGGATTAGGATGCAGATTTATCTTCGGGACCACCATTCAGCCCACTGCACCATCCTAGGTGAAGGCAAACTGCTTCTCGTTTCTCTGTTTATTGTGATAAAGATGAATGAATTGGCTGTGCTAGATACCAAGGGCTGAGTTGATTTCATCCAATAAAGAGATCCCGTCTGGAATAGCAGCTGCATTGGAGTTCCCTCACTGGTGTCCTAAACCCTGTGGAGAAGGGGAAGAGCTAAGGGGGATTCTGTGTGTCCAGACCTCAGTTTTCCCCAAGCACGTGGAAGACTCGGTGCATCCAATACCATGCCAAAAAAGGGAGACTCTTGATAGACACAAACACTCATAGTCTCCATTACTCAACTGCTCCAATTTCTCACTGCTCTCTTCTTCAGAAACCCTTGCTCTATGCCCTCTGAAACAATTCCAGAGTCAGCAAATCCCCCCATAAAAGCAATTTCTTCTTTAAGTGTTCCTTCTTCTCTTTTCCTTTATTGGAATGAATATCCCTTAGGCTGCTCTCTGGCTAGAACACCTTTCTGCAATCTACTGACCTCTTGGTCACTTGCCCTCATTTTCCCCAAAATGGTTTTCTGAAGTTTTCTAAAAAGCTCCCCAACTGATGTGTCATGAACCGTTCGTAGGTGGGCTGTGAGATATTAATTCGCTCAGCCCTCCGCGTGGCCTGGTTGACTCTGGCTGTGACAGCCCCATCTGCTTACCCCAGCATGCTATAAGAATATCATCATGTTTCTCTTTGCCCCATGATGAGAAAATGTTTGGGAGCCACTGACTTAGGCAGCCAGCAGCATTGACTGATGTCACCCTCTGCTCCATATCAGTCACCCATCTGCTCAGTTGTCCACGGCTCTCACACATCAACCACTTCGTCTGTCTTGCTTTCTCTATAACTTCCACTGTGATCTTTTCTTCACCCAATAGAAACCCTCTCCTTTTTTCACTCTCCTCCTTATTGAGACATGACCCACAATTTCACTCCTGCCATGTTAGGGTATCTCTTTCCCCTTCTGTTATTGTATTGCTCCCATTTTATTTATTTATTTTATTTTTTAAATTTTATTTATTTATTTTATTTTTTAAATTTTATTTATTTATTTTTTTTTTTAAAAAAGATGACCGGTAAGGGGATCTTAACCCTTGACTTGGTGTTGTCAGCACCACGCTCAGCCAGTGAGCGAACCGGCCATCCCTATATGGGATCCGAACCCGGGGCCTTGGTGTTATCAATGGGATCCGAACCTGTGGCCTTGGTTTTGTCAGCACCGCACTCTCCCGAGTGAGCCACGGGCCGGCCCGGTATTGCTCCCATTTTAGAGAAGAAAAAGAACACCTAACAGGTTCTTGTTTTTGTTTTGTTTTATTGTTTTGTGTGTGTGTGTACTTACCTCTAAGCAATTGAGCACGACTGGAAAAAGTCCCATGACAGGTCAGAGTAGTTAACACGATCACTAAACTCCAGTGTGCCCTCCACGTTGCCCACAATCCCACTGCGATCCCCTGGTCAACTCATTTTCTTTCCTATTCTCCACAATGGTATTTTATTCTCTTCAGTCTTTGACACTCTCCACTTCCTCTTATTCTCACCCTATGAATATGACCT